TTGGACTACACGTTGTGTGATTGGATTGCGACACACAATCTCAATGTAATGGACTGTGATTCACATTGAAATGAACCTTAGTCACTGCGATCACTGGGACCGTATTCACAACGTGTAGTCCAAACTTGACCCTCTAATTAGTCATTTACCGTTGTGACAAAAGCGTTGCCCATCGTGACCCGGTAGCCAAAGGGGTAGTAGTGTGGGCTGCTATTCCAATGGTCGTGGGTTCAAATCCTGCTGTCTCCACCTGATGAGATGAAATTACATCGAAACGCGTCGTGGTTGTGCAGTGTTTTCGGGTGGGCAACACCCAATTTCCATCTAATTTAACCACCTTTAGTTAAGCAAAATGTGCAATTTAATAGATTATCCAGGTACATGTTAAAATGGGGCAAGAAAACAACACTAAGGTAGCGAACCAACCACTTGAAGCGAAACAGCACACAAGCACGTGGTTAATAAATCGAATGCAGCGTACCTACCAGCGCTGCGCCGATCCTGCCTACGTTCTCGCCAGTACTCATCGTCGTTTCGATGCTGGACCCGTGTGGCCTCGCTCTTGGCCCACTAAATCTGCCTGACTCAAGCATTCGCGACCGCACGTGCTACAACTACATGCGCTTCCGCACTTGCCGCTTCTTCTCTCATGCACGAAGGCGTTCTCTTGCACTTCGGCTACTGCCTTCGTGATTAGATCGCGTCATACACGCCGATCAACCGCCTTCGATTCCCATGATCTACAGACGATATTAGAACGTATCGTAACGGATTTTTTCACGTGCCGTTTCCCTGCACTCAGTTGGCCATAAAGCATCTGTTTCGGTATCCGTGTCGAATCCATGCGGCAAATATGACCGAGCCACCTCAGTCCACTGCATATACACCACCGCGTCGGTGCACCTGCGTGTCTACAACTCGGTCACTCCAACCGATGCGCATAATACGACGCAGACACTGCTGATGGAAGCGCACCAGATGTCTGACATCCTTCCGATAAAGCGTCCAGGTTTCGCTGTTGTATAGGAAAACGGAATGCACCACAGATTTATATACCAGCAGCTTCGTCCGAACAGTGAACTGGTGGTTGTTCCACACACGGCATTCCAGCCTACCAAAAGCAGCAACCGCCTTCGATACGCGGCTGCGCAGCCCGCACATCATCTGCTGGTCGGTTGTTATTACGCTACCAAGGTACAAAATTTCGAAGTGGTTTCCAACACTTCCTCGGCAATCTGGATTTGGGGCAGTCCCACGGACTCCATTCCCGTTAATTGCTGGAAATGATAAACAGTCTTGCTTTCGTTGATGGTGAGACCGAATTTGGCCGCTGTCGAAGCCAGAGCACTAGTCATGTGCTGCAACTCAACCGCGCTATGCCAAAAAACGAACAGTCGTCCGCGAACAGCAACATACGGATAGTTGTCTCACAGACTAGGGTTCTCGCACATAAAAGACAGACGTTCAGCAACCCACCAACAATACGGTGCTCCACACGAACACCGTAAGCACAAGCGGTATCAAAAGCACAAGACCTCATGGTATAAGGATAGATGTTACACAAAGTAAAAGCTAAGACACAGCCTTGCTTCACACCAGAGACAACTGCGAAATCATCCGAGGTCTGCACACAGCTGCACCCTCCCCAAATATACCAATATATATATATATATATATTGCTTCTTCACCGCAGTTGGGCTAAACCAACTTACACTTAAACTAGGTCTTTTAATGTGGATAAAATTCATTACATTTTATTTGGCTTGTTCTGCGTACTTGATAATCTTCTCCCAACTTACCCACGTCGCTCATGCAAATTGTGGTAAACTTGCGTAATTTTATCGCGTGGTATTTTTTTAGATAACTTTCGGACATTTTGTACTTATCGCGCATTCACATTTAACCAATTTCTTTCATATGCTCATTTAGCGAGTATTTATGTCGTCATATGCGTTAACTTTATTCGGTATCGGCATTTCGAATGATTGGCTGTTGTTTGACATCCCAGGTGTGGTTGCGCTTGATGTGCATGTTGACAAGGTGCCTACCTGTCTATTACCCACTACCTCGTTCATACTGGCTCCAGGAGACAGTTGGTCGTTGCTGGAGGGGACGGGGTGCACTGTCCTTGTGGTCGTGCTAGGCTCGAAGAGTGGTTCCATACACTCAGTGTGGAGCGGACTACGGTCCAGCCACCGCCTTGTGTGCACTTGATTCCCCAAATACAGTGTGCTTGTGTTTGCCTGTGAAGGAGTGTGGGCCGGCTCCGTTGATGAAACGTGGCTCCCATCCGCATGCCTCCCGGTCTTATTCCTTCGGGTTTACACTGGATATGGGGTGTGTGGATGGAGCTGTGGGTGGTGCATCGCAAGCTATCCATGGTCCCTCTGTAGGCACGGGCGTCCTGTGGCTGGCCACATTGACAGGCAAATCCGAAACCGGATGCCGCCAACGATATATATATATATATATATATATATATATATATATATATATATATATATAAAATCCTTGCATCTTTACTCACTCTCACAAATTCGGAAATCTGCACTTGTCTTGTTAACTGCATCTAACTTTTAAATAAAATGAACTGTTCATTCTCGACAGTGCGAGGCCAGCTTGAGTACACATAATCATGGTAATACAAATATGAATGACAGATGATTGTAAAATTACCGGTAACATACTAGATGTGTGTGCATATGGTTTTATGTAGCTATGAATTTACGCAGAAATGACGCTGCGTTTGGGATTGAGTTCAATCAGGTCATCGGCGTGAGAAGGGCTCAAAGGAAATCCGAATAAGCGAGGGAAAACGACTTTATTTAGTGCCGAGTCACATCTGACACGTCGCAGTGTTAAACGGACTTATTTAGCTTTTTATAGGGAGAACGCTTACCAGGCGGTAAATGGACGATTCCTCTTGATAAATATGTCGATTCTTACAAAATAGAACTCCATTCACACACCTCATATCCAGTGTAAACCCGAAGGAATAAGACCAGAAGGCATGTGGATGGGAGCCACGTTTCTTCAGCGGAGCCGCTCAACACTCCTTTAATGTGCACAGCGACAATGCTCTAATATGGAAATCATGCGTACCAGACGTGCGCAAGATGGTGGCTGGGAGTTTGCCTGCTTGAAACTACTAGCTGATCTTAGTACCATCACGATGACCGTGCAGCCCGTCCCCTCCAACAACGACCAGCGGTCTGGAACCAGTATAGATGAGGTGGTGGGTGGTAGACAGGTACGCACATTGTCAAAACCCATGCCAAGCGCAGCCACATCGGGGGTATCAATCATCGGCCAGCACCTGAAAAGCAAGAAACCCAACACGCATGCACACGTACAGAGTAAATACAGCGATGATGTAGCACACGTACGACATCGACCACCTGGGTTAGTAAATGGGAATCGGAAGCAGCGTATCTACCAAGCGCTGCACTCATGATGGTGACAATTTAGATTACTCATCTTCTTATTTGTTGGCGGTACGTGGCCACGCTGATGGTTTGCCAGACTGCCTTGTCTGAGGCACTCGCAGCCGCATGCGCTATAGCACAATGCGCTCGACGTCGAGGGGCTATCCAACACAGGTGTTTGTCGCTTCCTTAACCAACTTCTTTTCCGCATGCAGTAGTGCCTACTTATACACCTGGGCAACCGGCTTCTTGATCAGCTCACGCCATTTGCGTCGATCAACTGCCTTTGATTACTGACACCTGAAATCAACATTACTTCATGATAAACCCATTTTGATCATGTCCTGGTAACCTAACTTCGGGGCAGCTAAACTTGCTCAGTACCAGCCACACTGCCTCGCGGTTCGTCGTGTCAAGTGCGTTGGTGAAGTCAACAAACAGCGAGTACAATAGTTGGTGTTAATCTCGGCATTTCTCTTGCGACTGACGAGTCGCCAACACCGTATCTATGGTGCTGCGGCCCGAACGGAATCCGCATTTCTCTTTTGACACCGGTTCAACGACCTTAGTGACGAGGCTTGATAAAGTGCAGAACGTCCGTTTTTATCCCGCGAAACCCTTGGCAAACAAACGCTATGGTTGCGATTTACAGCGCGATCACCATCATTACGAATAATATCAGATGCGGTAGTTCGTAATACTACACATATTTTGGTCTGTTTTTAACTCACTTGTACTTGTCTAAAAAATGTTACATACATGCAGCACGTGCGATTTTTAATCGAGGGGCGCTGCAGTGAAAACACAAGACAAGTGCATCACAGTCAGCCCTATCACTCCACAGGTAACTCAGTAGTCCGTTTAGAAGACGACAGCATACACGCTGCTGGCGCTACTTGCGAGCTGCGTCGCGCAAGGTCACGAACCAAGCACATAGCGATTCGTGTGGAAGTTAGATGGAACAACACACTACATTCTTCAGCACCAACTCAACGTTTACACCATCGAATCACATGCCGCACTGAATCCAGCAAACAAAGCCCACTTGAGTGGGGTAGCAAGTTGATATACGAAGCGTACGCGATGCCGGTCGTGATTGGTGTCGCGGGAGAAAGATACGCACTTACATATTCAGAACTAGTGTTCGCACTTCCAATTACTGACGTGATGTGGGAACGGTATGATTGCACTCCGATGTTCCTCGTTTTAGAATTTGGGGGCATCAAAATCAGATGTAGTTCATTAATACCACCGGTCACTGTCATGCTCCACCATGTGAACTGCACAGCGAGACATTCCTTTAAATGGCGCTTTATTTTCAACCGGTTGCGCTTTCAGTATGCGTGGTTGTGAAGTTTTTGTCTCATCGTCAGCTCGTTTCGACGAGTTGGTTCTCCTCAGTTTCTCATTGCTGACCTATGCAGAGCGAAATCCCGGTTTTGTGCCATAGCATCCTAAGCCGCTTGTGATCTAACCAGTGTGTAACGTCTATTCTACTAATGTACTCCAAAATGCGCCGTCACATCGAGAGCATGTGCCGTTTATGTGTTCGTTCTGCTCTTTCTCTCTGTCTAGGTCGCATTTAAAGCCGCCGAGAGTGTTGGTATCCCCACCACACTTCGGCTTCAAGACATGCTCGCTACAGACCGGCCGGATTGGAGTTCCGTCATGTCCTATGTTGCCTCGATTTATCGACGTTACGAAGTACACGATCCGACTAATCCCGGTGCAAATGCGAGTGTGCCATCAGCCACTTGATGTGCCTTCCAGTTTCTTTACTACTGTGACCGCTTGTCATCCAGGGTGCTGAACCAGTGGTTCATTGATCTCAGGTACAACTCACTGCATTGGCTTCCGCCGTGCATTTGCTGCCGATTTGATTTACCTGTTTACACCGCATGTCTCATTTCACATCTTAGCGCAGCACACATTTTGTGACATCCCTCCGGCTTTTCTGGCCACCTCAGTTACACTGTACTCCTCTTTCTGATTCCAGGCTTAATTATCATTGCGTATTATTCTTACGCATGTGCAGTTTCTCCGTTGTATTTGCCGTTGTAACGCATTTCTGTCTTCCAGTTTCGAGTGACCTTATTAAAAACCAATCGAAGATCCAAGCTACTTACGCTGCATTACATTTCGCCACCCCCGGGAACGGAAATGGTTAGCTAGTGTTCGCTCATCCGTTTTGGGTTCCGTTTGCGATCAATCCAGCTTGTTCCATCGCAGTGTGTAACATAACACCACCTAGTCTGTGTTCGGTAGGCTTAACTCCTACGCTGTTCTTTTCACTTCTCCCCAAGTCTAGCGATGCGAAACCCTTGGCTTTTCATAGTTGCATAGGGGCTGATTCACTTGCAGCGAACATCGTCCTCATCACACAATGTGCTAGGTCACGGTCGATTTGCTTTTCATATTGTGAGCTGCACCCCCATACAGTCGTTTGCTTGTGCACATTTGAAAGATCACGTTTGACCCTGCCTACTATTCTGTTCCAGTTGTGATAGCGGCAGGCTTTTGCGACAAGATTCCACTTGCGAGCTAAATAAATGGTGGATTATCAGTGCCTTATAGTTTTCGATTTTCATACTTGTTCACTTCTACGTAAGGCTTGAGTGAATTGGTTACCTATCATCAATCCACGGGGATACATACTACAAATGTATTCCATAACAGTCGACCTTAGAGGACGCCGGAACATGCGACTTTGGCAGGTGGCGTGTTACACGATGATCGTATTCTCATTCACTTTACTCGTTTGATGTATACCCACGTAGGTGGCACCATTGATTGCATTCATCAACATCGGCAATGATGAGTCTCGCGCTGAGTAGGTCTCCTATAATCGAATGATAATTTGTGGAGAGCATAGATAAGGGTACATTAGCTACCGCGCTGCAATTCTTCGTACGGACTACACTTCGGATCCATCGCATTAGACAACAACTACATACTGACATTCGGGCGGCGACTATTCCACCCATTCAAATCATCCCATTGGTGAGTCCTCCGCATCCTTCCTGTAGCACAAATCGGCGTTCTCTCGATCAAGATTTTGGTCCACGCCACGAATATCCCGAAATCTTCGCAAGTATCAGAAACCGACTTGTTGCTCATCTTGGTCACACTCGCCTTGATTGTTTAAGCTGTGCACGAGACACCCAGATGTTATGGCTGCCCAAGTGATCACCCTCTCGGAAGGAGACTCGGTTATTTTTTCTATGGATTAACTATTTTGCGTAGTGGATCAGTGCGCGATTGAGTATGCACCCTAGAAGCGGAATGCTATTCTACTGGTTTAACAGACTCGTGCTAGCGTCACTCATTTGCCCCCTGCGTATCGCAGTCAGATACATCCTGTCAACTTGGCCCTCGCCCCCTATATATAAAATTTAACCGATTGCGCTCACGAGTAGTGTTCATCATCGAACATCATGGAGGACACGCCGTCCAGTCCTACCACTCTTCATCTGTTGGCTTGTGAAATGCACATCGTGTCGGTTGGTGGAAGCTTTTCCGTATTTCACTCATAGGATGCAGTGGTTGTGGCTCTTGGGATTGACCAATATGCGACAAGACACATAACCGTGATGACTAGGAGAAAATTTTCGTCGAACCTCTGCGACTAGCGCGGGTTGGTTATGGGTGCTGGTCAGTCGTTTAAGGTGTGTCCCATGCGAATACGTTTAAACCCCGCTCCATGTGGTCTGATCACTTCTCTTTCGTACTTCACAGTTGAATTTCTGATCTCATCTTGTTCACTACTGTCTCATAATCCCCAGTTCTGCCACATTTTTGATTGATATCACCGACAACAAAGGTCAAGAGAGCCTACTGTTGTTCGCTTAGTGATATATCGAATTAGACCCAGTCCACTTTCACTGCTTTTTATGACTTCGCAACTATAAGATAGTTGGACTATACCAGGAGGTATTCACAAAAGTTACTTTTTTAATAGTAACGTGAGGTGCTGGTGTATTTATCGGATTAAGGGAACGAAGATCATAGTGAGAAGCTTTGTCTACTGCAGCAATCAAATCACCAACGATTGAGAGGCGACAACCAATTTCAGTGATTTCGTCAATGACATTTTCTACCTGATAGTGTTTCATATCGTTCCGTAGAAAACTAGTCAATTTAACAAAAAAACACCTTTCCTTGGGCACGTCCTCCATGGCACTGTTATCTGATAGTGAGTCCAGTTTTCACCAGGCATCCTGCTGCCAGCGAAACGTTGCCACAGCCGTGTGAGGAAAATTAACAACACTTTCAAAGTTGGTTGGTGTCGCGCCGAAATCGGTAACGCCCAAGATGTTTCCTTTGTAAGTAACCTGATTGCGTTAGAAAAAAGCTGGGGTCTCCATACTGCAAATCAGTACAGATCAGGCAACACCAATTCACCTTTTCATAGGGAAGCTTATCAGTGGAACTATTGTTAGATCAGAATCTCCTTGGATTATTTGGTTCACCGCTAATCGAAATTTTAATGAGGGAAAGACACTCTCGAATCACATGGTAAAAACGGTTTACGCCACTAAATTCACCCACCGCCTCTATGTAATCAACATCTGTCCAAACTGCTCGTAAAACCAGTCATTTGGTGACTTAAGTTAACGAGTACGTTGGTGAAGTGGGAGCCAACCTTTCCTCTCTAGTGCAGTGACAGCAAGCTAACGGTGTTCGAGCCGTGCTACATCTCAGTTACACAATCAAGTCGGTTGCCGACAACTCCCCTGGTGAGTTGAGAAACTCAACACGACTTGTGCTTCGGAGACGGATGGCTGTCTGAGTATCATGAGATGAAGTCACATAAATACCGCTGGTGGAGGCTATTTCGAATCATGCTTTTTGTGTCTCGTGAGGCAAAGCGACCAATGCGACAGAAATGATCAGTCTTCACCTTTCATCTCCCTGTGAGTGTGCAGTTCGCGGTTACAGTTTGAAGATACCCCAAAGTTAATCACATTACACATCTCTCATCCGCACTCTCGCGAATAGCACAAAACGCAATTTAGCCGCGACATGTGGTGTGTTCGCTTCATCGTCATCTTTCTGTACCTGATGAAGTCGAACAGGTTGGAAACCCATCGTGAAATGCAGGGTTTTCTGACCGGCAACACCCAGGGTCGAATTGACCAAGGTTCACTTCAACCTGAATCACGGTCCAAATTAAGATGGCCCGCCGCTATCCAGCCATACAGGGTGTACTTCAATATAACCCTAACTCAGTCATTAACCGCTGTGCTAAGCGCTGCCCATCATGACCCGATGATTAAAGGGGCAGAGGTTTCCGTTAATATCCCCACGATCTCGGATTCGATTGTCTGCTATCTCCACCTAATGATTACTGGTTGGAAGCAGTAAGTAGAGACATCTCTGTGTAGCTGCATCTAATATCACTCAGGTACGAAGACCCGTTATGTTGGAGTGCACTCGATCTATTTTATGATGTGGTTCACCCCGGGCTGGAGTGCAGTATTTTCGGGTGGGCGATATCCAAGATATAGCTGCTTCAGCTTGAGTATTTTTTGAATGGCTTGAACATTTATCACGTTCTACGTAAAAGATATCGCCCCATCGAATAGTTCTGCATCCAGGTCACGATGAAATCCGTATCATTTGATGATGGATCGATGCTACCGTTCCGTATCCCTTGCCAACATACTTTATGTGTTGACGAGCCTAAAGCACACTTCCGAGTCTTGCACACTAAATGCAGTTTCTCGTGGATAGTAATCAAATAGTACTTTCGAGAACACCATTAACAGCTTTGCTGATGGTGCGAATTTAGGCAAGAACGCTGCAAACGAACTGTATACTCTTCCAGTTCCTCGAGTGATGCAGAGCAACGGGAACTGACTTTGCAGCAGCGTAGGCAAATCGATTCCTTAGCTTCAGGTCCAGTGTCAAAGCGAGCGAGTTATGCGGTTTTGAGTGCCCAGCAAAATGCAGGCAATCTATTTCTTGCAAGATCTTCCATCTACAGATTTCAAAACGACAAGAAGCAATGAGTTCAGAGAGATTTGGAAACAATCGGTTGGTATAGTAGTTTGGTAGCATTTCGCCCTCGACACAAGAGCTTCGCTAGCGGTTGATTGCCGAGGCGGTGGAAATTGCCAAATCTGACGACTGCATGAATAGAATGAAGGGGGTAGAACTCTCTAATGCGTGGCGAGCGATCTTAAGCCGGCCAGCCTGACGAGCATCGGCGCGTGGATCAGATTGGAAAGTGAAACCGACTCTCATTGCTAACACTATGGGCTTATCCGTCAATGCCATGAAGCACAAAGGAACTGTTACTGTAATGACACCTTGGTTCAAGCCTAAGGTAACGCGGTTATCGCCCCTGTTCGCCATAAAATCCCACTCCAATTGCACACTGATTCACCTGGTCTAACGAAGCTCTTGTGTCAAGGGCGAAACGTTACCAAACTACTATACCAACCGATTGTTTCCAAACCTCTGAACTCAACTACTCGATCGGTTCCAAGAATCCGAAAGCAAGAAGCAATATTTTATACCATGGCACAAATTCAGCCTAACCCGTTGACAGTGATTATACACATTTTGATACTTAATGGCGTCAGCAAAAATATCGCGGGCATACTGCAATGAAAAGCCTACGAGAAAGGCGATCGCGACCATGTCTATTGCACCGCTGCACTTATGACTCGGAGGCTCTCGTTTCCTCGGACCCTGTGCGTTGAAGTATGGAGGCCGCGCCACCCGCATTGAGGAAGCGGCGCTGTAATAACTGCAACGATTTAGTTTCCGACCACTTGCCATAATTACTAATTTGTACCGCAATTTTGCACACCAACCTGAACAACTCAACTTCCGGAACATCTATAGTGATGGGAATCGCAAAGCTTCATTTCGGATTCACAGCGAACCACCGCGTATGCAACAAATGCTCAGTGTATTCAATTGATATGAACCGTTATTATTTCGGTCGAGTAAGTGATCCAAATTTGATATGCTCAGTTACGTAGTATGTGGTAGTGGCATGCGGTTTTCGCCATCTGATGGTCCACGGATGGCTTAAGATGGGGTTGCAGTTTCATCACTTGCTACATCATCTCAGTCGGTATGCTCGCATGCAGGCGCGCGTTGTTTCGGCCAAGCCACAACACATCCCCAAGGTGATTGCATAACCGAAAAAAGAATTTGATGGCCAAAAGCACCAACGATACCCTTGTGTATGACGACCTTATACGTATACTCTGTAGATAGGAGAAGTGAGCGTGTCACATCCTCCTTGTTTCGAGACAGGTCGAATTGCATTCAGGTATCTCCGTCCGGCTTATATCTTAGTGAACCAGTTACAGGTAGCATAACTCAAATTTCCTGTGTCCTTATTCTGAGAAATGGCGTAATAACATCTTGCGTTTCTTGCAACCGCTTTGCTCAAAGCGGGAAATGGTGCCATGCAGAATGGTTGGAGCCATACCCGTGTCGTCATCATTCCCGGAGACATCCCGCGTCTCGTTTGGTGGAAATAAATGGTAAGTGCGACGATTGACTTATGCAATGTATCGGGGTAAGATCAGCA